GTTTTATTTTTCAGGACTGGAACTTTACAAGTTGAAATATATTTTTCCTGTATTGTCTCCAACTTATCATAAGCTTTGTTAGCAGTTCTCAGCCATGACACCAGGAACATGATGTTCCGTGTTCAGTTGAAGTTAAACAGGAAACTTTGGAGTTTATTACAAAATCAATATGAATAGAGGCTGGAGGGACCCTTCAAGTTGCTCAGGAATGGATTAGAAATTTTTCCCTCAGTGTAAAGTGAGTTGTTGGTGGGGACTGAGTGATGGATGTAGAAGGTTATGGTGTCAAAATGCTCATCAGTAGTTTCCTCATACAACAGTGAAAAAACACTCACCCTGTTTTGGCGAAATTAGTCCAGTAGGTCATGACGACGGCACTCAGCATCACATCGTTCTTGGAGAAGTTGCAGTTGAAAAGATCTGTGGGGCCAATCATCGGTATCCCAAACACGTAGGGTACCTCGTCACCATGAGAAGAATCGGCCCAGCTGGGCTTCATGTCACTCTGACAGTGGTGGTAGAAGGCGTAGAAGTAGGTGGGGGAGCCATACTGGGCGTGGAGGTCGGCCGTGGCCACAGCAGGCGCCACCCACTGGTGGTCYGTGAAGAGGGCCACCAGGGTCTTTCTGCGGGTCTCTGGGTTCTCCTTGTCGGCCCAGTCCGTGTACATGAACTTGATGGTCTCCCGCAGCGTGTCCTTCCCCTCGGGGTAGCCGTAGAGGTGGTCCACAAAGTCAGACACAGCAAAGTCAAAATCGTTGGCGGACACTCCGTCCTCACTGTCCACAATGCCATCCACAAACTTGAAGCCCTCGCCCTGATTGACCCCCAGCATAATGTCGTAGTTCAGGAACTCCCCCTGTTCCATGAGGATCTGGGGGTCATCAGGGATAACATCACCATCAATCACCGGCCCGAAGGCTATGTGGTATTTTGCAGGTGTGACGTACTGCTCAATCAGCTCCTTGTAATTTTTCTTCTGCAGGCACTCCACCAAGTCGATGGTGTCCAGCATGTTGCAGCCCACCTTCTCGGCCAGAGACCGGGTGTACTTCGCCGGCTGGTAGTTGACCGCCCAGCTGGACAGGGCCGTTCCGCTCTGGATGATGGCTTTCTGGAACAGATCTGAGATTAGGACTGGCATTAGAGGTGAAGTAAATCAAAACCTAAAGGCAAGGAAACAACTGTTAGCAACAAGCTATAAGAGTTAGCATGTTCACAGGTTACTGGTTCAAATCCCGGCCAGGGGACCTTTCTAGATTTTACATGATCTCTCTGTGCATGTGTGGGTTTTCTCTGGATACTCTGGCTTCCTCCCACACACCAAACACATGACTGTTATTCTTTTACTGGTAACTCTAAATTGTCTCTATGTGTGAGTATGTTTGTCTCTATGTCTCCCTGTGATGGACTGGAGACCTTTCCAGGGTGTCCCCTGCCCCTGACACTGACTGCTGGATTTGGACACCAGTGACCCCTGTGACCCTGAAAGGAAGAAGCAGGTAAAAGATGATGGATGGAAGTTCACAGGTGAAATGTATACCGTCTACTGCAGGCTAATAACCAGCTAAAGAATTAACCAACCCTGCTTTATAGAGAACACCAGAGAAGAAGTAAAACAGGAGTTTTTATATTTAAAGTGTTTCAGTTACCAGGAGGACATTTTAAAGAAGCTCTTTTTTGTAAAACAAAAAGAGGGAAAATGTTAGCTGAAGACCTACAAACATGAAAATCTAGTCCGACTGTTGGTTCTTCAGCCTTACCGACTGCCAATCAGCAAATAGGCCAGAATACAGGAAGACTATTAGAGCTGAGATTTTATTGGACGGGTAGAGGTTCTATTTATAATCTCAGAGCAGTGACTCAACCAGGCCAACATGAAAAGGATGTTTTCAGCACAGAAAAGATGTGTCCCACTAGACCTCTCTAGCTCTGTTCTGAGCCTGATGTGGATCATCAGATCCTGCCTGCAGACCTGAACAAACCCAGTGAAGGAGCAGACTGATCCACTGGGCCCAGTGCTGAACTCAGGGTTCAGGACTCAGGGCAGACTGTGGGGACGCTAACACTAACAACCTAATCTAAAGATAGCATCAGCTACAGAGTATATTTAGCTGAACAGTGCAATTCCAACAGAAAATAAAAACTAATAGCTAGAAGATAAAGTTAGAAAAAAGTAGCTTATAACCTAAACTAGTAACTAGATACAGCTTAGAGGAAACATATACAGGTCCTTCTCAAAAAATTAGCATATTGTGATAAAGTTCATTATTTTCTGTAATGTACTGATAAACATTAAACTTTCATATATTTTAGATTCATTGCACACCAACTGAAGTAGTTCAAGCCTTTTGTTGTAAAATTTAAGATATTAGCAAAACAGTAAAGAAAAACCAAAAATCCCTATCTGAAAAAAAATAGCATTTCATGAAAAGTTTCTCTAAACCAGTGGTTCCCAAACTTTTTATCTTCTGACCCACAAAATATCCATGGCAAAAATTTGTGACCCCAAACATTACTGGTCTGAGT